TTTTTAAGATAGAGTCTTGCTCTGTCACCAAGGCTGGAGTGCAGTGACATGATCCCGGTTGACTGCAACCTCTGCCTGTCAGGTTCAAGCAATTCTCCTGCCTCAGCCCCTTGAGTAGCTGGGATTACTGGTGCATGCTACCACACCTGGCTAATTTTTGTAGAGATGGGGTTTCACAATGTTGACCAGGCTGGTCTCAAACTCCTGGCATCAAGTGATCCACCCACCTCGGCCACCCAAAGTGCTGAGATTACAGATGTGAGTTACTGTGCCCAGCTGATTTGGCTTTCAAAAGATTCTTCTGGGTGCTGTATGGAAAATAAACCAAAGGGTAAGAATGAACCCAAAGCCTCGAGGATGCTTTGGCAAGGGTCTGGAGGAGAGACAGCAGGACTGGCCCTGGGCTGATGGTCATGAGGATAAAGAGAAGCAGACAGTTCAAGGATGCTTTGCAGAGCCAGGATTAGAAGCTCTGCATAGGAATCACAGACCACTGGTCATCCTTTTTAACATGCTATTCACGTCGATGGGGAAGCACATTAGATACCAAGAATTAAGCATCTTTAATACTCCCCCTTCCTTTGTGAATTCACCTCACAATTTATTGCTCTTTGTTAAAATGGTATGTAAGGCCCCAGGTCTAAGCACTCCTTTGAGTTTTCGCTTATCTTCTATGAAGCTTCTATGCATATAAAATTAAAATGTGTGAGCCCTTTCTCCTGTTGAGCTGTCTTTTGTTAGTTTCATTCACAGGCCCCTATCACTGAACATAAAAGCGTAGAGAAAAAGATTTCATTTGTTGTCTCCCATAGTTTGATTGTAAAATGGTGCAGCTGTTGTGGTTCCTCAAAAAGTTAAACACAAAATTGCCATGTGATCTGGCTAGTTCACAATGGCCAAAAGGTAGAAACAACACAAATGTCAACAGACAGATGAATGGATAAACAAAATGTTGCATATTCACGCAATGTAATATTATTCAGCCCTAAAAAGGAAGGGCATGGTAGCTCATGCCTGTAATCTCAGCACTTTGGGAGGCCAAGGTGGACACATCATGTGAGGTCAGGAGTTCAAGACCAACCTGGCTAACATAGCAAAACCCTATCTCTACTAAAAAAAAATACAAAAATTAGCTGGGCATGGTGGCACATGCCTGTAATCCCAGCTACTCTAGAGGCTGAGGCAGGACAATCGCTTGAACCCAGGAGGTGGAGATTGCAGTGAGCCGAGATCATGCCACTAGGTGACAGAGCAAGACTTTGCAGCGTTTAAAAAAAAAAAAAGAAGGAAATTTCTTCACATGCTACAATGTGGATGAAACTTGAGGACGTTCTGCTCAGTAACAGAAATCAGAGAATAAAGGACAAATACTGTAAAATGCCAATTATATGAAATACTTAAAGTGGTCAAACTTATGGAGACAAAAAATAGCATGGTGCTTGCCAGGGACTGGGGTGAAGGGAGAATGGGGGGTGTTGTGGTTAGGCTCTGTGTCCCCACCCAAATCTCATCTTGAATTGTAATCCCCATAATCCCCATGCGTTGAAGGGAGGGACCAGATAGGAGGTGATTGGATCATGGGCATGGGTTCCCTCATGCTGTTCTCATGATAGTGAGTTTTCATGAGATCTGATGGTTTGGGGGGTTTTTCGGAGACAGAGTCTCACTGTGTCACCCAGGCTACAGTGCAGTGGTGTGATCTCAGCTCACTGCAACCTCTGCTTCCCGTGTTCAAGCAATTTTCCCACCTCAGCCTCCCGAGTAGCTGGGACTACAGGCATGTGTTACCATACCCGACTAATTTTTCTATTTTTACTAGAGATGGGGTTTCATCATGTTGGCCAGGCTGGTGTCAAACTCCTGACCTCAAGTGATCTGCATGCCTCAGTCCCCTAGAGTGCGAGGATTATGGGCGTAAGCCACCACACCTGACCATCCGATGGTTTTATAAAGCAGCATTCCATGCTCCTGCTCCCCCTCTCACCTGCTGCCACAGAAGACACGCCTCTTTCCCTTCCACCATGATTGTAAGTTTCCTGAGGCCTTCCCAGCCATGTGGGACTGTGAGTCAATTAAACCTCTTTCCTTTATAAATTACCCAGTCTTGGGTATTTCTTTACAGCAGCGTGAAAACATAGTACAGGAAGTGAGTGTTTATTGAAGACAGTTTCACTTCAGGAAGATTAACAAGTTCTGGAGATGAATGGTGGTGATCGCTTCACATTATTAATATATTTAATCACTGAACTGCACACATAAAAATGGCTAAGCTGGGGGCTAGGCACAGTGGTTCATGCCTGCCATCCTAGCACTTTAGGAGGCTGAGGCAGGAGAACTGCTTTCGTCCAGTTCAAGACCTACCTGGGAAACGTGGCAAAATCCCATCTCTACAAAATATACAAAAATTAGCCAGGCACGATGGTGTGTGCCTGTAGTCCTAGCTACTCGGGAGGCTGAGGTGGGAGGATTGCTTAAGCCTGACAGGCGGCGGTTACAGTGAGCTGAGCTCATGTCACTGTGCTCCAGCCTGGGCAACGAAGCAAGATCTTGTCTCAAAGAAAAAAAAATGGTTAAGACATGTGTTTTGCTATAATTGAAACAAAACCAAACAGAACATCCTCATGTCCAGGACATCTGAAGACTTGGAGAGATTCTTCAAGCTCTAAGGCAGGGAGTGGCAAGTTGTAACCTGAGGGCCAGACCCAGCCCATGTCATCTGAGAGTTAGGGACAGGTTTTGTTTTTTTGTTTGTTTGTTTTGAGACAGTGTCTCCCTCTGTCACTCAGGCTGGAATATAGTGCAGCAATCACAGTTTACTGCAGACTCAACCTCCCAGGCTTAAGTGATCCTCCTACCTCAGCCTCCCAAGTAGCTGGGACTACAGGCATAAGCCATCATGCTCAGCCTGAGAATAATTTTTACAGCCACGTGTTTGCAGTGGACCAGATAATAGCAAAAACCAACTGTGAACCCCCAAGTTTTACTCGGTTATTATTACATTTTGAATGTCATCAATAAAAGTATGTGGGAACTTTGTTTTCTCTCTTATCATACATGTACCTAGATAATTTCCTCGAGTTTTCTTGAAATAGTTCCTATCTGGCACTTTCTAAAGAAAAGTCTCAGCCCACGGTGACAGGATGGGCACTGCTTTGGTAGTTTTCATTCCAAAGTTCTCCCAGGCTCGATTTAAAATTCTAGGCCAGGCTCCGAGGCTCATGTCTATAATCCTAGCACTCTGTGAGGTCGAGGCAAGAAGATCACTTGAGTCCTGGAGCTCGAGACTAGCCTGGGCAACATGGTGAGACCCTGTCTCTACAAAAAACAGAAAAATTAGCAAGGCACTGTGGTCCTAGCCACTCGGGAGGCTGAGGTGGGAGGATCATTTGAACCCAGGAGTTTGAGGCTACAGTGAGCTATGATTGCACCACTGCGCTCCAGCCTGGGTGACACAGCAATACCACGTGTCAAAGAAAAAAAATTCTAGAAGCAGTGCTGGGGAAAAACCCACATGTTTAGGCAGCGAACGTATGAGGGTTGATGAAAATCCAGCTCATGATTCAATGAGAGTATGTTTCTAGAAGTCAATGCCCATCCTGGTCACTCCCGTCCAGGCCATCCGGACTCACCCATGCCTCGGAGCTCCACAGCCGGGCGGCAGAGCTGGAGGGCTTCACGGACCAGGCCGACCTCAGGAGAGTCCAGGTGAGGGGCACAGAGGTCAAAGTCGTCCAGCAGGTCTTCGATGCTCCCAGAGATTCCCCGGCAGGAAATCCAGCTCATGCTGCCTGAGGGAGAGAAGGCAGGAGGAGGTAGGAAGTGCTTACCTCCCTCCGGTTCATCCTGGGAGATGGAGAATCATCTCTCCCTCTCCTCCAGGGCATCTCAGGCTCAGCAGTAGTGACACTGGGGCAGGATCATTCTCTGTGGTAAGGGGCTGAACTCTGCATTGTGGGATGTAATGCAGCATCCCTGACCTCCACCCACCAGATAGCAGTAGCACTCCCACCCCAAGTGTGACAATCAAACATGTCCACAGACATTGTCAAGTGTCTCCTGGGAGGGCAGAATCTCCTCTGGTTGAGAATCACAGGGATGAGAGAATGGATGGATGGATAGACAGACAGACAGACAGACAGAATGTTGGGTGGATGGATGCATGGATGGACAAACAGAAAGATAGGTGGGTCAATGGATAGAATAATGGGTGGGTAGATGGATGGATGATGGATGAACAGAAAGGTAGATGAATGAATAGATAACACATAGATGGGTGGATGGATAGATAGAATGACAGATGGATGGGTAGACAGAATGATGAATGGATGGATGGATGGTTAGAACCAGCTCGTGGCTCAATGAGGAGATCACAGATAGATGGGTGGATAAATTGATAGATGGATGGATGAGTGGATGGATGGATGGATAGACAGAAGATGGGTGGATAAATGGATAGATGGATGGACAAAAGGATGGGTGAATAAACAGATGGCTGGTTAGATGGATGGAAGGTTAGATGGATGCATACGTGCATGGATGGATGGATAGACGGATGGATGGACAGAAAGATGGGTGGAGAGATGGATAGATGGATGGATGGATGAATGAATGGATGGATGGATAGATGGATAGATGAATGGATGGATAGATGGATAGATGGATGGATGAATGGATGGATAGATGGGTGGATGGATAGATGGATGGATGGATGGATGGAAGGATGGATGGATGGATGGATGGATGAATGGATGAATGGATGGATAGATGGATGGATGGATGAATGGATCAATAGATGGATGGATGAATGGATGTATGGATTGACAAATAGGCAGATAGGGTTCCTCATGATAAGGCAGGGGTTTTCACCCTATGTGCTAACAACATTTGGAGCTAGATTATTCTCTGTGGTGGGATGCCCTGTCCACTGAAGGGTGTTGAGCAGCATCCCTGGTTCTACCTATCAGATTCAAGTAGCACCTTCTCCGCTAGTCATGACAACCAAAACTATCAGTGGATACGTGAGGCATCCCCTCGGTGTAGAATTGTCCCTTATGAGACCCTCTGCCTTAAAAGGAACCAAGGATTTCCACATTTGCCATTCACCCTCCCCAGGATCCAGAAGGCTGGAGCATGGTATGGTCACCAGGCTTGGTCCCCTGAGATGGGGACAGCCCTTACCCAGGACCTCCTGTTTCAGCTCCTCCAGGCGGCCCGAGTGAAGTAGGTGATAGGGCAACTCCTTCAGCTTCCGCAGGTTTGCAACTGTGTCTGAGAACCACAGAGGCTGAGGGGCCACCTGGCAGAGGAGAAGGGAGACTGCAGTTTGGACACAAGCCCATTCATTCATCCCATGCTCCAGACAGTGCTGGAGGGAACGAGGATGCAATGGCAGACAGGCATACCCGCATCTGCCCATTGGTCAGGGCTTGGGACTCAGAGAATCAAAAGCCAGAGGTCACCGCCCTTTCTGGGAGGAATAGGGAACATTTCCTGAAGGCGAAGGCATTGGAACTGAACCTCAGAATTAAGTAGGCATCTATGTGGCAAAATATATTAGAAAACAGTGGCATTCCAGGGCAAGGGAACAGCATGGGCAAAGAGCTGGTGATGTGAAAGGGCAGGCTGAGTTTGGGAGGACTGGATTACACAAGGCAAGTTAGGGGATGCTGGTGGGGAATGAGAGTAGGGAGCTTACAGGCAGCAGATCACAAAGGCACTGAATATCAGGCTGGGTAGGTCAGGCTCAAGACAGAGGGCACTGGGGAGCTATGGAAGGTTTCAGAGAAGAGGTATAATCAGATTGGATTGTCAGAAGCATCCTTGGGAGGATGCACTAGGGTAAGAGACAGAGAGGTCAGTGAATGAAAGGGGCTCAGACCATGTACTAAAGGGACAGGTTGAAGCTGAACCTGCAGGGGCTCACAAGAAAGGTTTTGTGGCTGGGATTACAGGCGTTTGCCATCACACTCAGCTAACTTTTTGTATTTTTAGTAGAAATGAGGTTTACCATGTTGGCCAGGCTACTCTTGAACTCCTGACTTCAAGTGATCCACCCACCTTGGCCTCCCAAGTGCTGGGATTACAGGCATAAGCCACCATGCCCAGCCAATGTTTGTTTGTTTGTTTATTTATTTTCTGTTTTTGAGATGGAGTTTCATTCTGTCACCCAGGCTGGAGGGCAGTGGGGCAATCTCAGCTCATTGCAACCTCCACCTCCTGGGTTCAAGCGATTCTCCTGCCTCAGCCTCCCAAGTAGCTGGGATTACAGGCGCTTGCCACCACGCCGGGCTAATTTTTGTATTTTTAGTGGAGAGAGGGTTTTTCCATGTTGGCCAGGCTGGTCTCGAACTCCTGACCTCAGGTGATCTGCCCGCCTCAGCCTCCCAAAGTGCTGGGATTACAGGCATGAGCCATTGCACTTGGCCATATTTTTTATTTTTTAAATTTAGAGACACGGTCTCATTCTGTTACCCAGGATGGAGTGCAGTGACATGATTACAGCTCACTGCAGCCTTGAACTCCTGGGCTCAAGTGATCCTCCTACCTCAGCCTCCCACATAGCTGAGACCACAGGTGTGAGCCTCCATGCCTAGCTATTTTTTAATGTTTTTTTTTTTTTTTTTTTTTTTTTTTTTTTTTTTTTTT